AGTTGGAAGGAAACCCAAGAGTCATCTAGTGCAGGAATCTCGGCTAAAGCATCCATGGCAGACGGCCATCCAACCTCTGCTTAAAAACCTCCAGTGTGCATGCTTGCTTAAAGCTGGTAGATGTGCACACCAGTTTCCCTGCTGTTTTTAAGACTCATAAAGGAAAACTATATTAAATCACCTCATTTGGGAGCCATTGCGTGAGCTTCCTAGGAGCAAGAAGTGGATTGCAAGCACCTGCTACTTCACTTCCTTTGTTGCATGCTGAAGTCAATGGCTGCCATTAGTCTCTACTTGTAATGAACTCCTAAGGCAGTGGATAGCAATTTTCTTAGGCACATCTTAGGTCAGGAATGGGAAACCTGTGGCTGTCTAGCTATTGCCGGCTGCAGATCCCATCATTCCTGACCATAAATTGTGCTGGTTGGGGCTGGTGTGAGTTGGAACCCAACCACAAATTCTCCCACCCATGTCTCTGGTCTCATTCAGAGAAGATGGTTTATGTGCATTCATCTGCTCCAACTGCTGCTTTTATTTCGCCATGTTGGTGGTTTATCAAAAGAAGGTTAAATGTTTGGAAACCATCTGCTTTCAGAGACCCAAACACCATTTTCAGAGGAAACTCATTAACTTCCAAGTGCATTGATGAAACCATGAAACTGGCAGGGATGCATTACCTTCAAGTAACCCTGAAGCCAATTATCGACGAGGTAAGAGCACATTCAAAAACCATGTACAGTCTTTTAAGAGACGCATGCACATGGTCTGTCTTGTCATTGTTCCACGGGGCTTATGCCTAAGGTTTAGGAGGTTATGACAGACCCATGTGGTAGTTGCTTATCTAGTGAGTCAGTCATAACACTTGAATACCATGGATTTATATGAAATTAATGTTCTGCAGTGCCCTCAGATGCAAGCCTTGCATTACAAAAGCAAAGCATTTTGATTCTGGATAGGCATATAATGTGCATTTTAAAAAAAAAGAAACAACTCATTTGAATTTGTGATTATTTTTAGAGGTTGCACGTGTTCTTGCTTGACACTCTGGCAGCGTTTCATTATCTCTGCCACGCAGTTAGCTTGTTGTCCTAATGTCACAAATAAACAGACCACAAATTTCCTTTAATTGATTCAGCACTTTCCTAACTGATCTGCAAATGCCACAACTTACCAAGAAGTCGTGTGTGTGTGTCCCCGCCGCAACTTTAAAAATAGTTTTACAACATTGTTCTTCATAAACAAAAGGGGAGATCGGAAAATACTGTTTCCTTAAATACTTACTTGGTGTTAAGAGAGCCAGTGTGGTGTAGTGGTTAAGAGCGGTAGACTCGTAATCTGGTGAACTGGGTTCGATTCCCCGCTCCTCCACATGCAGCTGCTGGGTGACCTTGGGCTAGACACACTTCTCTGAAGTCTCTCAGCCCCACTCACCTCACAGAGTGTTTGTTGTGGGGGAGGAAGGGAAAGGAGAATGTTAGCCGCTTTGAGACTCCTTTGGGTAGTGATAAAGTGGGATATCAAATCCAAACTCTTCTTCTTCTTCTTATCTCCTTTTTAGCCAGAAATTAATTTTTCACTGAAGTTCAGTGCAGATACTTATGTTAGCATTAGCTGGCTCCCTGGAAACTATGGTTTCTAAATTGGTAGCCAGCCCCTCCTCCCTCCTGCTTTAATTCCCCCACCTTCCTTCATCTGCTCTAACCAAAATACAGGTTGTACACCTGTACACATTTACCTGAGAGTAAATCCATTAAAGTCAGTGGGGCTTAATTCTGTGTAGATGTGTACAGGTGTGTGCTCTTAGTGTTGTAATGTCAACGCTAATTACATATAACAGTGTTTATCTGTCACTAACCATGGTCAGTTGAGGGCTTCCCATCTTAACCAGTATATTAAACCAGGGTTTGAAGTATGTTTGTTAAATTTTCTTGATGAGGCAGCCATGGTTAGTGATGTTGAATTACTGAGCCACATGTAAAAACATAAGGAAAAGACAGAAACTCACTTGACTGGGGCTTATTCCTGATTTGGGGGGGGGGGAGTTTTGTTTTATATAGCGAAATTAATCTTCAGAGGAGCTAAGAAAAAATTAATTCTATGCTGTAAAAACAAAAACAAAAAAAGCTAACCAGCCCAAAGCTGTTAAATTGCAATTTGTTAAATAAATAACTGATTCTAAGGGGTCAAATCTCACCCGAAGATAATTCAGTATATTGATTTTGAATTATTTCAATTTATTCTAGATTTGCCAAGTTCATAAATCTTGTGAAATTGATCCTGTGAAGTTGAAAGATGCTGAAAATTTGGATAATAACCGGGTATGCAGTCCATTTTGTAGATGAAAGCCCAGGTTTCCAGTTCATTCACTTACTACTGTCTGATATGCATTTAGCATCAGTTGTGTGCTAGGTGCTGTACAGGCCATCTTTTGCAGCTGGGTTAAGTGGCAGTGAGTAAATGTGCTACTCTTCTATACAATACTGGGCTGTATGATATCTCTATAACAGTTTCCAGAAGTTTTCTGGCAGATATTGCCATATAAATACAACAAGAACTGTTTCATATGTTAACATGTCCATATATAAAACAAAATAACATGCTGATGATAATGTGGGTATTTCACTGCACTGATTCACATTGGAAAGTTGCAATTTCAAGCATGAAAACTGGGTTGTGTACACAGCGAAGTAAAGCAAAAAAATTTTTTCACACATGTAGGATCATTTCACATGTCAATTATATTTGGGCTTCCTTCATGCAAGCACCTTATTTGTGGGTATCCCATAATACGTGATCTTAGGTTAGAAGTGCTTGCACGGTTGTTTTATCTATTATTATTATTTTTTCCCCTCCTAGGAAAATCTTAGGCAATATGTAGACCGGATTTTCACAGTCATTACAAAGTCTGGGGTCCGTTGCCCTACAGTGATGTGTGATATCTTTTTTTCACTGAGGGAGTCCGCTGCCATACGCTTTCAAGGTACGTTCCTGTGTAAAGTTAAAATTGTAAAACCTCCAAAAAGAATGTTAAGGTGATTATCACAGTTGCACCAGCCAGAACACTACACACTGCTAATGTATGTGCAGTGATTGTGTGCTGCTAATATCCTGAATATGACGTGCTGCACATGGGTCTCTGTTGTGAAGAAGTCAGGCTCCACTTCTTGGAAGAACTCTGGCTCTTTCTCAGAGTTATTCCAGCCCGCCAACCCAGTGGTTTCTTTCATTTTCCATTTTCACCTTAAGAACTGTATAAGTTGCTGAGTTAACTCGGGTCTCTTAAGTTCTGCCCCTAGCCATTAACTGAGGGCCAAACTACACATTACTCTCAAGGTGTAGCATGCAGCTATTTCTCTGGTTTTTCTTAAATTGATTACAGGTGTGTAGGGAGGGGGCTTGTTCTCGAGACTGCAGAGCATGGGTTGTGGAAGTTTATCCCTGCCCTCCCCAGCCACAGCCCCTTCCACAGTGCCCCCCTTCTCATACACAGCTGTGAAGCTAAACAAAATATTTTTCATTTGGGACTTTTTTTTAAAGTAAGCCTTATAGCTGCTGTCCCAGTAACAATCACCCCCTCTCCAAGCCTGTAGGTAACTACAGTATTACCTCGGGTTGCAGACGCTTCAGGTTACAGACCCAGAAATAGTACCTCAGGTTAAGAACTTTGCTTCAGGATGAGAACAGAAATCATGGCACAGCAGCAGTGGGAGACCCCATTAGCTAAAGTGATACCTCAGGTTAACAACAGTTTCAGGTTAAGAATGGACCTCCAGAACGAATTAAGTTCTTAACCCGAGGTACCACTGTACAGAAAAACATGAGCCTGAATGCAACACATTAAACGTAACATGTTGCTTGACCGGTGTTAGAAACTAAGATAAATAAGCTAGGTGCCAAATGGCTCCTTAAACCAGGGTTACAGTTGCCAAAACAGAATGCCTAGTTGCCATTTGGGGGCTAGACGGCTCAAAAGTAGTATCTTTCAATACGGCTTTTTGGTTCCTGAAATTCATTCAGATTGTGCAGATAAAATGTAATGGATAGAATTCTACAGGATATGTTGCTAGTGTCAGGATCCTTCCCACATGTCAAAAAAGGTTATAGTGGTATCTTGGGTTAAGAACTTAATTCGTTCTGGAGGTCCATTCTTAACCTGAAACTGTTCTTAACCTGAGGTACCACTTTAGCTAATGGGGCCTCCCACTGCCACCGCACAATTTCTGTTCTCGTCCTGAAGCAAAGTTCTTAACCTGAGGTACTATTTCTGGGTTAAAAGAATCTGTAGCCTGAAGCGTCTGTAACCTGAAGCGTCTGCAACCCCGAGGTACCACTGTATTTGTGTTCTGTTAGCCCAAAAATGGAAAACAAGTGAGGTCCCAACTAAAGAAGAATGGAAACGTAAACTGATGGAATATGCGCAGCTTGCAGACCTAACATATAGAATAAGAGAACAAGAACAACATATGTTTAAAGAAGATTTGAAAATGTTTATTGATTATATGGGGGGAAATTGTGTATACTTGAAAACGTTGGCAGCGTTAAGATAAATTCAACAGTGGAAATAAGTTTTGATGGATGTAATGGAATACTGAATGGTTTATGTAAAATATGCAGGGATTTGTGCTGTGCCAAATGAACCATGGAAAGAGAAGATGGGAAGTCATTGATATTTTAAAGCTGTTTAAATGAATATTCTAAAATGTAAAACAGAAAATTTAATAAAAATTAGGGGGGGGGGAGAAAACAGTCAAGATGCAAGGATCCCCTGGCATGCATCTCCAGATGGCAGAGATGTCGGGTGTCATTCTGGCATCTTTACTCACTCTTTGTGACTTTATCTAAAGCTTTTTAAGAGTGGAATTGTAATGGGCTTGTGTTCTGTTTTTAAAATTGCAGATGATCCAGATGTTAGGTATACAGCAGTAAGCAGCTTCATTTTTCTGAGATTCTTTGCACCTGCAATTCTTTCTCCAAATCTCTTTCATCTTACACCTCATCACCCGGTGAGTGTTGCATCTTGCCGTCCTCTGCTGGAAGCCCTGTGCCTTACTTTCCACTGTTGGCAGTTTTTCTCCAGTCTGCCTCTTGAGTAAATAAGGATAAAAAGTTGTGCCTGGTTATGTATACACAACAGATGAATCCTTTTCATTTTGGACGTGTCACAAGGCGCACAGAGACAAGAAGATTTGACTGCAGGGCCTTAAAACCTCAACCAGTTGCAAGGAAGATTCTGTCTCTTTGAAACTCCTTCTCCTCGCAATAGTTCAAGAGCATTAACGGCCAATCTGACAATGTGTGATTGGTTTCCATAGCTGTAGCTCTGAACTATGAAACATCAAGTTAGTGGATGGCACAGAGCATTATAAGAACGCTGGGTTGCATCCAGTGATACCGTTCCTCAAATAGGAGGAGTCCTTCCATTCTTTGGAACAGAAGAGGAGGAGGGGAGATTTTTGCAGCCCCTGAAAATCATCTCCAGAGGGTTAGGGAACTCTTTAGTTTGGGAAGTTGGTAAAGCAGTTAAAACTCCCACCACCTCCCCTTCCATTAGCGGATGCCTCTGCTAAATCAAAAACAGTTCTGTGGTCAAGACTCCTAGGGCACTATCAGAATCATCCCTCTGTTTTTGAAGATGCTGTAGAATGCTACCATTCCTAAGAAAATGACAATTATTCCTTTTTCCTTTTTAAACGAGTAATAACTGCACTGGAAATCATATTTGTGACATGCTGCTAGACCAGTTCTGCTCTCACAATAAATCAAAGAGATCTTGCTAGATAAGAATTGCCTTTACGTGAAACCAAGCTGAGCCCACCTTTCAGATGGGCTGGAAACTGCTTTACGCTGGTTATAGGTGAACCCCACCTATAGGTTTATGTTTCTATGAGCTCCCAAACAGCTTCTAAAATGAGTTTTAATACCTACCGATAAGAAATAAAAATATAGTAAGTAGATCTTTTGTTATGTTTAAAGCACCTTAAGGCTTCTGTTGAGAGCCTAATAATTTCATTTCCTTGTTTGTTCCTTCAGAAAGTGCTTTTGAAACGAATAAATAAGAGGTTCTGAAGGAGCGGAGGAACCCTTAGAATTCCCACAGAGAGATCAGGAATTTATCCAAACTATTCAGCATGCACTTGCAAATTAGGTGAGGAGGCTGGAGGACCTTTTCACTTGCAAGAGGTTGAACTGCAGCCCTTCCTGTCTCTTCCAGCTTCGTTTCTCTTGTGCTCCAGGGCAGGGGAGTGCTTTATTCTATGTGTAAAATAGAAACAAGCATGGAAGTGTGGCGCAGGGTTTGTGGTCTCCTGCGCTCTTTAACTATAATACAATGGTTTTCTCCTTTTCCTTTTCAGGATCCACAAACCTCAAGAACTCTGACGCTCATTTCCAAGACCATACAAACATTAGGCAGCTTATCGAAATCTAAGTCTGTAAGAATTTTGCATTCTTTTCCCCCTCCCTTTTCTGGGTTCTTGGGCATTCCCACCCACCTTTTAAATGTGTGTTCAATTGATTATGATGATGGAGCAGAGCCCTTCTCTGTGAGGGCACAGCATCCTTGTGGAGACGCATCCTCAAAAGGGAACGATACAAACCTATGTCCTCTCCTCTCTACACATGTTTGGGCAATGCGCCAGGCACTTCTAGGGAATGCCAATTCCACCTCCTGTATCCCCATCATCCAGCCTTCCCTCTTTAGTTGGTTGTCACATGAATATGAGCTCTAATGTTCCTAGACCAAGGAGGGAAATACACTAGGCTATGTGTTCAGGTATTCAAGGAGCATGATCTGTGATCTAACAGTTCCCTGGGCTGGTGAAAGAAAACTTCTGAGAACTGCTTCATGTGACCGCTCAACATGGCCACCCATTTTTTTCCCTTGCCATTGCAAGTTTGCTTCTACTATACACATCATGTAAAGAGTTGGGACACCTGTTTGTGGTGAAGCCTTGCAAAAACAAACAAACAAAAAAAACGCATTTGGCAAGAGAAAACGGCAACCAAGGCCAGAAAAAAGTGGTCCCTGCCTACATTTGCTTATTTTACAATACTTCTATACCCCATGATTGCAATAAAAACTGCAAAAAAACCCCTAAAAATTAAAACATTCAAATTATCAATAAAAGACTGTTAAAAACAGGTATATAACAACAATCTATGATAATTAAAGTCAACAGTAAGCAAAATTAGTTTGGAAAACCTACCAGCATTCTACATATCGGGATAGGCTTGCCCAAATGAAAATGTTCTAAGCAGGCTCTGAAAACAGCACAGCGAACGGACCTGCCTGATGTTAATAGGCAGTTTCAGAGTGGAGGTGATGCCACACTGAGAGTGTTCTTAAAATGAGTACACACTGAGTTCATACAGTGAGTCTCATATAAGTACAAGTGCACATACAGAGTTCATGTGAATTGTTTGTGAGTTTGGCCATTAAATCGCTTGTGGACTGCATCTTTTGCCTTCTCTACCCAGCCCCGATTGCCAGTTTAGAATGAATGGCTAATCTGAGTAAACAGAGTTTGAATTATATCCAAAATTTAAAAGGAAATGTCTTGTGAGCTTGGCATGTGCACCGATACCTCTGCCCTCCCCAAAAAGTCTATGCTACAAGGAAAAAAGACATACAGTGGTACCTCTGGATGCAAATGGGATCCGTTCCGGAGCCCAGTTCGCATCATGATCAGAATGCAACCCGCGTCTGCGCATGCGCATGACGTCATTCTGAGCATCTGCGCATGTGGCGAAACCCAGAAGTAACCCGTTCCATTACTTCCGGGTCGCCATGGGACGCAACCTGTAAGATTTAACCCAAAGCGACTTTAACCCGAGGTATGGCTGTATGTCTATGAATGAATCAGTCTTAAGCCTTTTGCTGACTTTGGCGTTTTGAACTTCTGTGTAAATTGTCATATTTCAAGATAAAAACCTGGTGGTGGTTTGTATTTCAGGCCAGTTTCAAGGAATCATATATGGCAACATTTTACGACTACTTTAATGAGCAGAAATATGCAGATGCAGTCAAAAATGTAAGTATTATCAACAAACTCTTGCATACTTTGTAGGCTTAATAACATTAGCCAGTTGAATAAATACTTAATTAGTTGCATATCTATATCCTGAAGAATCAGCTAAAAATGAAAATTAAGCATGCTGAAAGAGAAGAGGTTGAAAAACATGAGAAGTATGTCTATGATTGTGCTTTAGGACACAGATTTGAGGTTTTGCCTCCATCCATAGGCCTCTTAAGGGTTACAGCAAGCTATGTGGAAAACATATTGTGGCGTAATTATTAGTGCCATACCAAAATCTGCCCTCTAGTTTCTGAAAAGTTTTCTGCAGGCGTGAAAAAAGCTTCCTTTTTATGTCTTTTCAGAGTGTTATAGAATTTCTTTAGATTGATGATGAGTCGGGGGTTTTGAGTTTCACTTGCCATTGCGAGGTGGCCAAGGGTGGCGTGGGTGTTTTTCTTTCCAGTAAAAATTTCTCCAGCAATCTGCAGCCTCCTTAGCTGCCCTCACTTTCCAATATTTTTTAAAAAACAAAACAAAACATGGGAGGAGTTACTTCACGACGACTTTGAAGTGCAGGCACCTGGGAAGGTTGCAGAGTGCAGACAACCAGAGAGATGATTTGTAGATACAGACACCATTTGGTGACCTAGAAATTAAGGTCAGCACAACAAAAATCCGGCATCCTACCCATGATATAAGGGTATGTATCTCCCCTTCATAATCAATCAGCAGTTCATTCAGGCAGCAACCCTTTAGATCACATATGGGTAACACACAGGCTGCACAACACTTGCAGATTCTCCCTAGGTTATCCAGCCTCCGCCACCACCACCTCTTGTCCCATGCTGGCAATCACGCCCCTCTCAGCCCACCAAACAGCTGTGGGAGGTGTGATATTCAGAGAAGACAATATTGAGTTAGAAGGACCAGCCGGGCAGCTTGCTATGACCTTTGAGAATGTCTGAAGGAGGTCTCTGTGAGGGGAGTTACACCTGTGTGTACACATATGTTTCTGCAAATGTTGGCAGAGCCGAAGGGCTGAGTTATATATCCGATATGAAGACCTACAATATGATTCAGCGTAAGGCACTAATCGCATTTAATTTGGACATGGATCTTTGATTTGCTGGCATATAAAGCTTTTAAACATTCTTTTTCTTCTCATTAAATGTCAAATAATTAACCTTGTGAAATTCAGGCGTTTCCATTTGTGCTTTTTTTTTATCAGCTCTGCCAACTGGTACGAAATCCTTATTTCATATATATATTTTCTCATCCAAGTTCTTAGATTTAATTTCATCCTCTGGAAGAAGAGACCACAAAAGTATAGAGCAGGCGATACTACTTAAAGAAGGGTGAGTATGCATCAGGCTTTAAAAACAAAACAAAACCTGGAGCAAATTCAATTAGTAAATAGTTCAGCACCTGCTTGGGTTGGAACATAGTTCCCTTTTTTTGGTAGTGCTATCTCTAGTATATATTCATTAAGCAACGGGAAATTTCATTTTGTCAAAATTGGAGATGCTACCAAATTGTTAGGGATGGAAGTACCTTAGAGGATATGATAATAACCAAAAATACAAGCAAATTTGTTTTCACCAGAAATATTTTCTGAGTTACCTAAAAGCTGAATAAGTGTACATGATAGAAAGCTGCCTATTTCTGAACATAATTTGCATAATGTTCCTGCATCTTGTTTGCCCCTTAAAAGTTAATTTTTGTCTTTTAGTTATTTGTGCTCACCTTCCTTTTGCTTTTTAAAAATATGTTTGTATGATTTTCGTAATCGTCCCCTCCTAACTCTTAAATGTGAAATTTCTACATACATCTTTCTTTTGCCTTTGTCTGATTTTTTTCTGTCTCTCCTTGCTTGGCCTGCTGTGTTAAGGACTCTTAAACTAACAGTAAAGAAAGTTGATGATAATAGTTCATGCAGGTAAGATGGTGAAGGCAGTTGGTACTTAGCCACAGCTACCTGTCAATGGCAATATCAAGAGAGCGTATTCAACTGGGGTGGGGTGGGAGAAATGTGGATATCCATGCAGGGTGACTGAAAAATCAGATGGGGATGTTTTTCTTCTCTATGCTGCATCAGTACCTACTGAACACACAGGAAGGTGCTTCATCAAAGGGCATTTAGCATTCATTCTTAAAAATCAATTTTTCAGTCGGAACGCTCTGGAACGGCATTCCGGCATTTCTCAGTTGGCCCCCAGAAGTGCGGGGAGAGACCTGACCAGCCTCAGCAAAGCCCTGCTGCACCTCCAGCTCACAAGGAGACCTCCCCCCCCCCCCCGGAGCCCAAAGGGGAATCATGTACGGCCTTTGGAGAGGGGTCTCCTCATGAGCCGGATGAGCAGCGGGGCTTTCCTGAGGTTCTTCAGCCTGACTTAGCTGTGATAGGGCTCCTCTTTGCTACTTCCCATCAGAATCTGCTGCTGTCGTCTTCAAGACCACTGTATTTGGGTACCAAGTCCATATGACACTACAATGTAGGTGGGACTTGTCACGATTGCCTCTCCTTATTACTTCAAGGATTGTCTGGAAATGTTTTTGTATGTTTGGGTTTTACCTGAGTTTTGGTAGTTTAGTCCATCCTGAGCTGGAAGCTTTGATACAGATTTTTTCTTGCTGGTAGATGATACAAGTTGACCTGAAACATTTTGACATTTCTTTCCTGTTCCGCCCCTGCTTTTTTAAAAAAGCTTCTTCTTCTTCTTAGTTTCTTATTTTTATTTACGTTTCTGTACAAGAACAATCAAAGTGGCTTTCGTGATTTCTTAAAACTGTGATTTATCTTGAACCGTTATGTGCCCAAGTTAAATTACCTTTCAGACTGGTTACGAAATGGTTGGAGATTGTAATCATTCAATATCTAGTATGATCCCCCACCATCCTAGATTCATACTTTCATGATCCCTTACATTCATAAGTTGATTAATCATAGCTAGAGTACTGTTACTTTTAATTCAGAAGTTAGAATGTAGTCAAAAGTATGCTCTTTGCTTTCGCAACATTGAGTGCACTGCAAAATGGTTGGGTTGGTTTCTTCTTTCCTTTCAACAGCCACTCTTGCTTTCTAACTTACCAGATAAAAACTACCTGTGCAACAAGTGACTTGGTGTTTATTTACAAGAGATGCCCTTCTGCCCAGTATAGAGGTTAACAAAATTCTACATGTTCTGTATTACGAGTATGCTGACATAGCCATTACTTTTAGCGACTGGGCCTGTTTTTCAAAACGAATCAAAGAGAAAAGCAGGGTAGAGAATATTTGAAAGTGTAAACAAGAACACATTTTACTCTACGATGTACATGCCAGTTCTACCACTGCAGAATGTCTGTGGGCAATCACTTCTTCCATAAAATTTCCATGCCAGCAACTTTCTTAATTGCCCATGTAAAGTACTGGTTTGAAACGTGGATGTTTTCAAACATGCAACCCCCTGCAAGCAATATGATGTTGTTTATTTATGTAAGAGGAGTGACTTGCTAAATTGATGTACTAAGTGATGCCTGAAACCTTCCTAAAACTGGACTTAGCACCTATTGGTTAAGCCTATTCCATTCAGTGCATCCTCATTGTGGCATACTTCACAGTGTCCCCTTGTCTCCGAGGGTACAGTCTCTTCCTTACTACCAGGGAATATAGATATAAATTCAATAAATATAAATAAAAATATAATTCTGTCACCTTCTCCTTTGCAACAGGTTCATGATCAAGAGGGCACAAGGTAGGAAACGATTTGGTATGAAGAACTTCAAGAAGAGGTGGTTTCGACTTACCAACCATGAATTTACCTATCAGAAAAGCAAAGGTATTAAAGATGCTGCCATTTTCATTAACGCTTAGCTAATTTAAATGTTTATAATGATGCAAAATGCAGTGCTGGTAGGCTGTTGTGACGTTGTACTCTCTTCTCTATGGTACAAAGGAATAAGGACTCATTTCAATGCATTTTAAAATCGTTTGAGGGTGTGTTTTTTAAGCATTCTCCTTTAAAAGCTGAGCTTTTATTTACTCGCTGCATTTCTATCTAGTTCCTGTGGCGGTCATAAAACCAGTGTTTAAGGATAAGAGCACAATCTGGGGGAGAGGAGGGTGGCTGTTCAGGTAGAGTGCTACAGTTGGCCTCTGCTCATTGTGATCAGGCGCCAGTTCCTAGCAAAGGGCTGGCGTGTGTCCTCTGCCATCCTTTGACCTTGGTTGTGGGCTGTTTTGGCAAGCGTGGGGGAAGCCAGGGGTCTCTGAGTAGCAGTGCTTGGCGTCAGACGTGCAGTACAGTTACTACAGAAAGGATGCTGCGGAAGCCTTAGCCCGAGGCAATGTGCCCCCCCCCAATACCAAGTGTTTCTTTTAAAGCAGAAGTTGGATGGCCATCTGCCATGGATACTTGAGATTCCTGCACTGTGGGGGGTTGGACTAGATGACCCTCGGGGTCCCTTCCAACCCTACAGTTCTCTGATCCTGTTTTTCTGCATTTGCCTACTGCAGGTGACCATCCACTGTGCAACATTCCAATTGAAAACATTCTGGCAGTAGAAAAATTGGAGGAGGAGTCCTTCAAAATGAAAAATGTAAGCTACTCCCCCCCCCTTTTCTGTTTTTAAGAACCATGTCTTTATTAACATCAGCTTATGTCAGTTCTTGTAGAGAACAGGTGTTTCAAACACAACCATGTCAGGAATCACAAGACCACAGCAAGAACGGCTCTGCTCCCGCTCTAGCACCGATATCCCAAAATACAGCCTATTTGTATGAAATTGTTACAAACCTTGGCTTGCTTATAGTTGGTCTCTTCTGTAATAACTAAGTTTATGATGTAATTACTTTATGTAATTGTGGTGTTTTTGAAATTGCCCTGTCTTACATATATGGGGGTGAAATTCCATCATTTAGTCTTGGAGAGCATGCAGTGCACAATACAAGTCAGAGGAGGTGCAGAATATAAATGCAACAAATCCCTCTGGTTATTTCATGAGAGTGCAGAGACGAAAGTTTGTGTGTGAATTCACAACCAATATAAAAGCACCTCTTTTATCTGGAAGCATAAATTATGAGTTTCATGTTTACACTTGTGCATTTTTTGTATATTTTTATTGGGTGGCTGTTTTTTACATTTATATATAGAGAGAGAGCCCGTGTGCACGAAGCAACCAGAATAGTAGCGCGTCCTCTGCAAAAGCTTGATTTATGAATTACATTATACTACCACTGTTTTTAGATTATATTGTTTTCAACGTTGGGTTTCATGTGTTTTGTTTTTAAAACCATGTAGCCAATTTGTTTTCTATGGTACAAAGGTGGGATTTGTTTAAATAAACAAGCATTTTAAATCCTAAACTGCTTGTAATTAAATGAGAAGAAACTGGGCATACTGAACTGTGACTTTGTGTGAGCTGTGTCGGCTTGTTCTTCTAAACAGTTGTAAAACATCAGGCATTTTTATCATTGCAACAAACCTGTGTTAGGTTGATGGGCCTAAAGCTACCTATGGAGCTTCATCTCTGGGCAAGGATTTCCTTGGTTTACGTTCTTAACTCTTTTACCCCATACTGACTAAAATAGGGTCCCCCTTTCAGGTTTCTTTCTGTAAAAGATAAGAATTTAAGCGGACTTTCTTGTTGGTCATTGGTTGTTCCTCTGTCTGCCTTTCAGATGTTCCAAGTAATTCAGCCCGAAAGAGTTCTGTATATCCAGGCAAATAATTGTGTTGAAGCCAAGGACTGGATTGATATCCTCACCAAAGTTAGCCAGTGTAACAAGAAACGCCTCGCTGTCTACCACCCCTCTGCATACCTTAATGGGCACTGGCTGTGCTGCAAAGCGACAGCAGATAATACCCCTGGCTGTACTCCCTGCACTGGGTAAGGACTTTCTAGGATATATTTCCTGTTCTAAATTTGGCTTTGGAGCAACTCGGTGATGAAATGTGTATCCTGCAGACGTCTGAAAGAGTGAGAGAGCTGATTCTAAGTGGTAGGAAGCTGAATCTATGTCAGCGTCCAATGCAATCGCTTGTTTTCTCAGCCCTGTTTACACCACTTACAAATCTCTGTAGCTAAGCGATATAGGAATAAGAATGAAAATGTGCCGCTGGGTTTTTAGGACAAGACAAGTAGCCGCAATGGGACGGAAAGCTAAACCATGGTTTAGTGCAAGGGTGCTGGAGTGGATTTGTCAGCCACCTGACATCAAACCCACGTAGTCAAAACAAAATCTGCAGGCAAAGCACCAACAATCAGCTGATCACTGGGTCTTGCAAAGCTAGATTATTCATATTCACATTTATGCAGATTTAACCAATTAATCCATCTGTTAATTAAGCTCTCGTTATTTATGATTCACAAGCTGAGCTAAAAAGACATGAAAATACTTCTAGACATTAAGCCATCTTCTGGCTGGTTGCAAGTGATATGTTATTTTAATAAGATTCTGGCAATAGGAATACCCCACACTATTATGGTTCAGTTTTGGAATGCCTCTCCAACTGAATTATAACTTTTAACTTTAATATCCAACATTAGCCCTACTCAAGAGTAGACCCACTGAAATAAGCCATTGATTTCAGTAGTTCTGCCCTGCTAACGATTAACATTAGATAATCACCCCTTCTCTTTAAAATTGATTATACTTCTGTTATCTCATATTGTACCATTTTGAAATCTTGCTGTTCTATTAATCAGGTGCCCTTTTAAACCATAATGGAAAAGTAGAAACCCTCAGTTTCTTAACATATGATTCTTAAATTGTTATTCTAAACTATTCTGCAGGGGCCTCCCAGCAAATATCCAATTAGACATAGATGGAGACAGAGAAACTGAACGCATCTATTCCCTTTTCAATTTGTATATGGTTAAATTGGAGAAAATGCAAGGTGGGTATACAAATGAATCATTCCTTTGTCTGTACATGTCATTTTAAATTAAAATTATATTTTAAAGAATGTTACTTATTTACAAAATCTTACGACTGTTAAGCTATACACTGCAGGTAGTTTGTTCAGAATAGCAAATGACACCTTTTGGTGTCTGCTTTAATATTTCACACCTGTTTTCTGTTATTATTTTGTTCTGTGCTTGGTTCTGCATTTTAATATCATAAAAAATAAAGAGAAGAAGCAGCTAATAGATTTTTGTAGTACGGACTTCTCTTATCTGCTAGTATGCCTGTATTTCTCCTTAATTCTTTTAGGTCTCAATAGACTTCTTTTTGCACATTAATCAATGAAATCTGAGTGTCAAACAGACAGAGTATTCAATGAATGTAAAAGGAGGGTAGAAGAATCACATGACCACTGCGTTTTTTGGCATTCTAGAAAGCTATTTTTGAACAGCAGTTCAGCCAAACTTCAGGTTCTGCTTCAGCACAGGGACAGAGGCAGGATATCTTAAGCTAAAATATAAATATAACTTTGTAGGATGTAAGCCAATAGTGCCAGATATATTTAAACTTCCTCCGACCCCATGTAATTGCAAACCTGTGACCTCTCTTTCCATCTCTCAGCTGGCCATCCATTTGCCCTTAGCTCCCGGCTTTGAATACACCCGGGACGCGGGTGGTGCTGTGGGTTAAACCACAGAGCCTAGGACTTGCCGATCAGAAGGTTGGTGGTTCAAATCCCTATGACAGGGTGAGCTCCCGTTGCTCAGTCCCTGCTCCTACCAACCTAGCAGTTCGAAAGCACCTCAAAGTACAAGTAGATAAATAGGTACCACTCCAGCGGGAAGGTAAACGGCGTTTCCGTGTGCTGCTCTGGTTCACCAGAAGCGGCTTAGTCATGCTGGCCACATGACCTGCAAGCTGTACGCCAGCTCCCTCGGCCAGTAAAGCGAGATGAGCGCCGCAACCCCAGAGTCGGCCATGACTGAACCTAATGGTCAGGGGTCCCTTTACCTTTACCTTACCCGGCTTTGAATACAAAAAGCACTTTGCTAGTGAAGAACCAATGTTGCTTCAGGCACTTGTGTGCTCCTTAGGAACAAGTTAATCATATGACTGGCCTTTGCATGATTTCCCCCCCCTTTACTAAATGGAGGACCCTGGGTCAGGATTGGGACTATAGCGTCTGGGATGTCTCTGTGTTAGCCATTTACCCCACCATAGTCCCAATCCAAATCGTTCCCCCACTACTGTGGCTGCCCTTTACCCTGACAGCAAAGCTCCCATTGTCACCAATGGGAGCTTACTTCTTGATGCAAACAGCAGGCATGGGAGGGAAGTGTTCAGAACAGGCCTGTGATAGGAGCAGGAGGACTCATTCCTTACTTTGACCCAACATAGATAAGTGTGAAGAGCAAGGCAAAAAGCGAAGGCATCCCAATGCAATAGATAGCAGGATGAAGCATTTCATTCCCCACGCACGCATGCAAAAGTCGACAGCACCCGAGACTGTTTTGAGAATAATTTGGGTTTACACACACACACACACACACACACACACACACACACACACATTATTTTAGCAGTATGTTTGCTGACTTTTTCCGAAATGCATTCAACCCAAAGGTAGTTCTCCACCTGAATCCATCATAAATGAAAGATTGGCTGCAATTATTCCCTATTCCAGATAGTCACATTTGTAGTTGTAGCTATTAGTTTGCGCGGATTAGGCAAATTAATGGAAAATATGACTGAATGGCTGTGAAAACCATGATAGCTAAAAGGAACCTTGGGGTTCAGAAGTAGTGTCTCTTTAAACATGAGGTGCTGGGGACACATGGTGGGAGGCTGTTGTCTTCATTCCCCATTTGCGAGCTCCCAGAGGCATTAGATTGCCCACTGTAGACATATCATATATAACTGCAGAGTTGGAAGGGCCCACAAGGGTCATCTACTCCAGCCCCCAGCAATGCAGGAATCTTTTGCACAACCCTGAAATTAAGAGTCTCATGCTCTGCTGACCGAGGTTCCAAGACATGCTGGGCCCTTGGGCTGAACTCGCAGAGCTCTTTTTAAGTTTGCTTTGGGGCGCGGGTGGGGGGAGTGTCTTACCGCTTCTTGGTGATGCTGTTTGACCTTCATGAGAGCTGGATTTTTCTTCATCTTTTTTCAACAGAGGCTTGTGGCAGTAAATCTGTGTACGATGGACCAGAGCAGGAGGAGTATTCAACCTTTGTCATCGATGACCCTCAGGAGACCTACAAGACACTAAAGCAGATTGTAGATAATGTTAAAACCCTAGAGCAAGAACATGCCCAGTACAAGAGGGATAAATTCAAGAAGACAAAATATGGAAGCCAGTAAGTGTGGGTTGCTCTGGGTGGCTGTGATCTTTAAGAATGCACAGAAAGCTTTTTTTTTTCAGAGGAAATGTAGCTTGGTGTGTTCTACATCCAGACCTGGCTAGTCATTCAGTTTGGAGAAAGTTGCAGTTCAAATGGTACAGCACACATTTCGCCTGCAGAAGCCCCCAGGTTCCTTCTCCAGGGAAGGCTGGAAAACCCTTGAAACCCTGAAGAGTTGCTAAACACTCAGTGTAGAGCTAGATGGAGCAGTGATTTGACTTTGTACAAGGCAGCTTTCTATGTTCCTGTGCCAAGCTAGGCAATTCAGCCCCAAAATCCACCACTGCCCTTTCCTCCTCAAAATATAAAAGTCCTCAACTTCCTGCCTGCAGACATTTTCTATGCAGTAGAGCACCCTCCTGTAAAATTACTCACGGGCTCAGGGTATCCTGCAGTTCTCACCTTGCTCCCTGGCCCTGCCAAAATGCCACCTGCAGTATTATCTGGTTGCTTCCCCTGCCCCTCGACCATCTAAAATGAACTGCGGCGTGTAATTTTGGAAACCAAAGATGTCTCTTGTTCGCTTTCACGAGTTCCCATGACGCTGTCACTCAGGCCAGATCTCTTTCCTAAAGCGCGTGTGAGGAACCCACTGGTCCTCCCAATGTTGCTGGACTACAACTCCCATCATCCCTGACCATTGGCCATGCTTGCTGTGGCCAATGGGAGCTGTTGTTCAGCAACATTTGGAAGGCCAAAGTATCATGACCTAGAGGGTGAAAGGTAGAAACACTTTTCCTTCTTTGGGGTTTGTTGTTTTGCTTCAGGTCTGCCTTCTTTAGACCTGCTTTTTTTCCTCCTTTGTCACTTTTCTCCTCCTTCTCTAGGGAACACCCCATCGGTGACAAGAGCTTCCAGAGCTACATCAGGCAGCAGTCGGAAATCTCAGCGCATTCCATTTGAAGTCTGAAGGAATTTACAAGGCGGTGCTGTTGACGGGTCGAAATGAGAGAAAGGAAAAGAATGAAATGAAGAAAGAGAAGCCAACCAGTAGCGGGATGTACCTACCTAAACATCGAGCTCGCTGAGGCTTGCTAAGTGTTTTCTCTCTCTCTATCTCTCTCCAAGAACTGTTACAATAGTTGCTATGCACTTTATTCATCTGATAACGAACAGATGAAGGAACTCTGCCTTCTAGGCAATTTTCATTGTATGTGTTGTGTTTGAGCTGTTTTTTTCTTTTTTTTAAAAAAAATGTTGCTCTGGTTTCTTGGAATCTAGTGATCAGTTCAATGATCAAGGTGTGTGGATTTCATATTGACAACTTCCACAGTCCTGTACATGGTTGAGAGCATTCTTTTAGATTTCTTAATTTTTGGTTGCTGACTACTTTCTTTTCTATGCCACACAGCAATTAGCGAAGGCTTTGCAGCACTTGATTTTTTATGGCTATGTTTAAAACTTAAGCGGAGATTAGCTATTTTTGGTTTTTAGTGCAGTCTCCCCACAAGCAGGTTGAAAAGCAGGGTATTTTGGTCTTCACATCAGCCGTGTAATATTTGGTTAAGAGCTGGCTTTTTAAGGTAAAATTCTAATATTTAAATGGTACTCTTTGATATTTTTGAGATACAAAATCGTTTCCACCAAGGCATTCTGTCGATTTCTATTTTTGCTATATAGTGGTGCCATTAAGAATAATGGAAATTAATTCAAAGTGTAAATAGTACAAGAATACATGGAAGACTGGTCCTAGAAAGTTTGGTTTGCATTTATGAATTACTGCCTCTTATTTGTTTCCATGTTCCTAAGGGCCATTTCCAATGCAGCAATTTTTCTATATCAAAAGTATTTCCATGTAGAAAAAAAAGTGTTTGTGCCGTGAGCAGTTTGTCATGTGCGATAAGAACGCGTGTCCTGTTTGAACTGCGCACATGCTGAAGAAAGCAGAGTTAAAATCAATAGTTGAAAATGGTCTTGCTGTGTAGCACGGTAGCCCTAAATTGTTTTTGAACCTCAGCAGGTTCTTCCTCAGGGAAATTTTGAAAGAAAAAAAAGAAGCTAGGAACTGCTGTATTCTCTCATAATAACTTTACCAGAGAGATCCGATTGCTGCAAACTAAATACCAATGCATTTCAGATAGGGAAATGGATGCGACGGAAGTAGCCTCCTGCATTCTGATTTTCTCTACCACATGGTTTGCACAACCTACAAAGAAGTATTATCCACGTAGGAAAACATTCCTTTTAAAGCAGGCTGAAGATGGACAGAGCTGTAACTTAAGAGTAGCTTGTTATAATTAGGAAATAGTGCTGCCTTAACTCTACAGGAGAAGAGTGTTGGGGGGAAGGGCATACAGAGTCCATAACAAAAAAGTTGTAAAGGCTTTTTTTTTTTTTTTTGGACTGAATTATGTTTGAAACTGAAGTTCATGTTCTCCTAGCACTACTCGATTGTTTGGGACGAGAGTTGTACTTTTTACAAAAGTGTTTCAATAATAGAGGTGTGTTTCATTTTTTTTGTTTTGTTTTAAATTGCATCGATACAAAGGTGTATCTTGTTAATATGCGTGTAGATGAAGTGGACTGAGTAATGAACCTCATAAAAAAACAAGTAAATGTTGTCAAAGAGGAGGAATGAAGATGACTTGTGTGCATGTGTGTGTGATGTATGTATGTATGTAGTGACTGGGATTCAGACAAAGTCATACTTAGGTCTCATTGAAATCAGTGTGAAAAGATAATCTTGATTATCTGAAGTCCCATGGATTTCAGTGGACCTAAGTATAATGAACAGTGTTGATCCAACCCTGTGTGTCTGTGTGAGTGTGTATCTATCTATAGATAAATGCACACACAGTATATTGCTGTTTAGCTATATGTCATAGCCTCCTTAAAAGTCTGGTTCAATGCATGCTGGGCTTTGATGAAAGTCTAAGTAATGTAACAGAAGTTATGGGGTGTGGGCGTATTTTTGGACCATAATTAATGAGCTTTCAGCTTGATGAGAAGATTCCATACTTCTGCATAATAGTCTGTAATGTTCGCCAGGCACTTGAAGCAGAAAAGAAATATAGAAAACAAATGTCGGCAATGCAGCCCCACAATGCTCAAATCCCATGAAAATAAGGAATGAGAACTTTTACACAACCTCTGTTTTTTAGTGGTTACAGATTTTATTCTTCTTAGCATTTGCGTATATTAGAAGCCTATGAGAACTGATATCTTATCGGTTGCCAACAGGAAGGCTGGACAAAGAACTGTACTATGTGCCGTGAACTGCCATTTGAATGCCAGTCTTGTTTTTTTTGTTTTTTTAAAAAAAGTGTATTTGTAACTTAATAGTCTTTTAATTAAATACTAATGACCTGCAATGTGTGTTCTATTTGCCAATTAAAAGAAGTGTTTTATTTCTGAAAAGTGTATGTGTGCATATGTTATACGCTAAATAGTGCCAGGCCTTTTTTGGAAAGGAAAGGCTGATGCTTATTGCATTTTTCTAAGGTACAGCAGCAAAAAAGTTATTTGTAGTTGGAAAGGCTGCGAGCTTTAATCTATTTTATGTAGGAGTTAAGCACCACTGAATTCAGTGGGACTTCCTTGCAAGCAATTAGGGTTGGACTTGCACTGTTTTGGGTAACAGCGAGAGCCAGTTTGAATTGGCATACTGAGATTAGAAGGCACATTTTTACTTTATTTTTTACTTGAGGCTACTTTGGTTCTGGGACGTTGTTTCTGTGATATTGGATACAAAAAAGAAAATATTAAAGATGGTGTTTTCTTCTTACCACGAGTAGTATCTTTTATTACCTGATAATCTCTCCCACACCCTTCAGTATCTAAACAAAAGCACCTATATTAAACTTTGGCAATATAAAAATAGATTTAAAGAAATAATGCTGTCGTTTTCTCAGCCACAGAAAGGTGGCACTGCGAACTACAGTGTGTTTGACAAACTGGGCTCTCAAAGTTGCTGGGGCATTGCAGCCATGTTGGAGAGTGAAGAGGAAGCCAGAGATGGAGGTGTGAATGGGTGGCCCCAGGCCAGGGAGCAGCTAGCCTGGTCAGTAGCTATTGCTTGGGCAAATCTAGCAGTCTAAAAGGTGTTGGTGTCAGATGCATCCTCTTGGATCCTGCCTCTATGCCTGTCCTCCCATGGAAAACCTGCATCCTTTTTTGCTTCCCACCCTTTCAGTTCAAAAGTTCTTTCCCTTAACATTGCCCAGTTTCAGGAATATCCTCTTTTCACACCAGCTTTTGCATCCTTAAAGATCGTGCAATGATTTTATAAAGCTGTGGGAGTAGGACCATGTAAGTTACTTTGTAAAAAAATAAAATAAAAATAATTCATCAGTGATGATAGCTGGAATAGCCAAAGATGGCGCCAGGTGGGGAGAGTGTGGTCTTCCAGATGTTGCTAAACTGCAGCTTTCATTACTGCCAATCATTGACAGTACTTGCTGAAGCAGGTGAGAGTTGGGATCCAACAACATATGGAGAACCATGGTACCACCATGGCACACAATTCATTCCAATTAGAGCCATAGCTGACACATACAGTTAAAAGAGCTTTCCCCAGCGCTTGGTGGCCAAAGGAACAATCTTGGTATGGGTACTTACCAAACAAACATAGAAGAATGTGTAAGGTGATCTTTCAATCCGCGAAGCAGCCTTGGTGGATGAGGCAATGGTTTCAGTCTACCATTTGTGATGTCATAGAAGCTTCACGACAACCCTGTGTGAACAAAAGTCACATGTTTTCAAGGCAACACATTTAAGAAATGTATCAACAGAGAGTCCTACATCATTTCTCCATGTTCAGCTAACATGAAGAACCAAAAGATGTCAAAGGCTGCAAGCATAGCACACAGGAAGCGTTTGCAAGGTGTGCCTTTTGCAACAAAACTATCGCCAGGGTCCCACCGGATTGCAGAAACGTCAGATCTTCACAAATGCAAGACGGTTAGGCTCAGTGGTCACACGCTTAAGCCTGAGCTAGCTGGCCTAATCGAAAAGACATTGCAGGAAGCTGGTAAGTAACTTAGCAAGCAAATCTGTTTATGTACAAAATCTGAGAAAGGAATAGCTTTTGATTCATCTCTCTGTTTCCTTACTGTCCTACAGTCCTGGAAAGCAATTAGTGTTGCCAGAGAGCTAATGTGAGAAGGGATTGGCCAATGTCACACTTTCCACCTTCAAAGTGGACCATTAGCTGATTCTCTCATTCTTATGTTGATACCTTTGGGAGGCCAGGTATCTTTTCCAGAAGCAGATAAGGCCCATAGTTCATCAGTTGCCAAACCCCAGTATTCATTTGTTATACAAAAAACATCTCACGACAGTTTACAGCAAAAATCATGCAAGAGATTAAAAGGCAGCAAACAACAAAACACTGGGAGGAAAGTACCCTAAGCAATGAACCTGATTCTTCAGGGGTAGTGCAGCCCCAGGCAGAACGGGTGCCACTTTTCCAGGCAGAGGAACCACCTATTAATAGTGTCAATCTTGAGCTTAAGTTTGATGGCCATTACCCAGTCCAACACCAGAGTCAGGCACCGGTGAAGCATATTCACCACCACTTGAGAATAAAATCTATTCTGCCCTTCCTCCCATGGAGCCCAGGGTGGGCAACACAGAAATGATGATACAATTAAAACATGGGGAAACAATTCCAGTACAGATGCAGATAGATAACATACTCCAAAATTCCAGATGCTCCCACTCAACAGTTTTATGTAGATGTTGAATAAAATGGGAGACCAAGCTGAACCCTGCAGAACCCCATGCGGCGGCACTTTTCCACCCTGGCGCCACTGGGCCGGCCCTCACTTAAATATAGTGCAACTACCTCACAGTATACCCATTACACGAATTTCTACAAATTACCCCAGATTATCTAGTGGGGGACTTGTGTGAGGGAAAACTTAATGATTTGGAGTCTCAGGCAGGATTTGATAAAACGAACAAGAAAGGTTTTATTAAACAAAGGAAGTTTATGACACAAAATGGATGCTTCAGGTTATGTTATTTCAGGTAACTGTTCACCTAATAATATTTATACTAAATCTAACTGCTGTTATGGACTTCTAATCATGCTCAGCTTCTTTTAAACTTCCGTTGCTTATGTTCAGTTACTTTGCTTCAGGTAGATGTTACAGGTTTTTAGACTAAAGAGTAAATGCTTGGCTTATTTCTAGTTATTTCACTTCAGTTCTTTCTCAGTTGTTGCACAGCTGTTGCCGCTTAATAATTTGGTTCTTAGACAAGGCGGTACTTCCTGTCAATTACACACCCCTTTGACAACCCTACTCCTGAGGTACTCCAAGTAACAGACCCAAAGGGATCACCACACCCCTCTTAACTGGTTTGGGAGTCTTCTCTTTTTGAGACCTAAGTAGACTGTATCTTTCCAGCTTCTACTTCTGGCTCAGCCTCAGCCTCCCAGTTAATTCCTGGCCTATTACTCTTACAGGACACCACACACTGTCCTGCACACTAAGCGCAGAGACTCCTTTCTCTAGCTTGTGATATATTCCTCAAGGGTGGATGTTTCTACCCAGAACCAAGTCTCTCTCCCCTCACTCCCTATCTCCCAACCTGAAACCTGTCTCTCCAAATCCTCTCCTTTTTCAACTCCCCCCCCCCCCGGAACCCTGGCCAATCAGAAACTGCCATTTGTTAACCGTTTGCTGGCAGGGAAAAAGAAAACACTTGGTGACCCAACCTGCCCGGCAAAACAAACTTTTCTGTCACACCCCACGAGGAAGGCTCTGTGGGTTGAATTATCTTCCCACAGCATTACCTTCTGATCTGAAGGGGGTTGTCAACACCACGTCTGAAGCCACCTCTGTCAACTCAAGACAGGGAAAGTGCTAGGCAGCAAGTCGAGCAGTATACCAGCAGAACCTTGAATCAGCTCGTCCAACACAAGATGTAAACGTTCTAGATTTGCTCCCTCCTTTCTGCATTTCCACTCCTGTTGTTTCAGGTCCCTGAATTTCCTCCTGCTCTCTATCTAGTGTTATGTACTGAAGTTCTCACCCTGGGCCAGCAGGGGGATACTGTAGATAGTTATGCAAATGAAGGATTGAAAGTGACGTTCAGTGATTGGATAGTTTGTATGCAAATGAAGGATCGAAAGTGACATTCAGTGATTGGATAGTTTTAGAAAATGGCAACAGTTACATTGTTCTGGAGCTCTATATAAGCAGGCTGACTGAGCTCCTCAGGTCAGTTCTGTTCCAGCTTACAAATAAAGAGCTGCTTTGGAAGAATCGCTGTGTCGTCTGATATGTTTGCCCACAACTTAACAACTAGTCTGCCCTGTTTCACTCATGTTCCCAACTACTATCTCTTGCTAGTAGCCAGTATAAATATTTTTCTCCCCGCCATCTTTCTGACAGCAATATATATATATATATCTGTCTCCTTAGGTCCCTGTAAGCATTTTCCTATCCTGCAGCTTGTCAACTTTAATCACTTCCCTGTGTTCTCTGCCTTCCTCAGGCCTTAGGTTTCTACAAATTCCACTGATTTGTTATCAACCAAGGCAGCAGGTGAGGAAGGCTTCATTTCTCTTGGTTTTACTAGAGTAAGTTTAGCTTCCCATCTGCTGTCCAGTCACTACCATCTTCCACAACCATTCATGATGCACATTGCATTGTTGGCTCTACTAGGGTACTTTGGGGTTGTTTTGTTTTATGATGGGAGAATGTAGCCCTCAAAAAGAAAAAAGCTCGATTTCTGCCTATATGTGACACTGTTTATGGAACCTTTATTTCCCCTTTTCTAGATGTTTCGGGCACAGAGAAAGGCGCACAGAGGACAGAAGAAGACCTTAGCTGGTAACAGAGCATAGCTCAGCCTAGTCTAAACAGAGTTATGTACAGGGGACTAGAATAAAGAGTAATATTCATTAAAGAGCCATTTGCCTCACTTCAGTGTGCTTCACGACAAGCAGGAGACACATCCTAGGTGCTGTTAATTCTTGTAGTACAGTAGCTCAGAGACTGAGCTATGACTCAGAATGCCCCTGGTTTCAATCTTGCCTCTGCCATGAACCCACTAGGCAGCCTTGGGAAAGTTACTTGCTCTTCACTTCAGTTCTTCCCTCTACAAGATTATAATCTTGGTGAGAGTACAGGGTTGTTGTAAGGCTTATCTCATTATAATGCAAGCAAAGTGCTTAATTATTACACCTAATGTTATAATTGTATTTACATCAGGATGGTTAGCATCTCCTTTCTTGCACACGCAAACATGTGTAAGTTGCAATAAGCAGGGTCCAGATTAAAAGCATGTTCTTTTTGTCCCAGATGACTGTTTAAATAAGGTGAGAAATGCCAGCAAAAACTTTTTGCTACGAATTAAATACCTCTGTTCAGTTGTTCAACCAGATCACTATAAGAAAACTATTGATATGTCGATATCTCTTCCTGTGCAGTCTTAAAGAGATCAAGAAGAAAGTGTATGACAATAAAAAGGATAAAGAAAGTGGTCGGGAGCAAGATGAATCTGTTAAAGTGGAAATCAGTGAAAAAACGGTCAGGAAACACAAAAATTCTAAGTACAAGTAGTTCTGTGTTTATTTACTTGAGGGGTTGGGAAACGTTTCCAGCCCAAGGGCTGCATCCTCAAGTGGGAAACCTTCCAAACACCACATGCCAGTATGGAGTTCCAGTTTGGACTCCAAACCCATTCCCATAAATGGTGTGTGTGTGTGTGTGTGTGGACAGTTAGATTATATATCATGTTCTAGGATAGTCATCCATAATTATTTCATACTCGCCAACATTTCTTTGATGAAAATAGGGATGTCCTATTCCTTTATTATTTATTTATTTATTTATTTATTTATTAGTATTATATTTTATTTATACTCCACCCATCTGACTGGTTTGCCCCAGCCACTCTGGGTGGCTTCCAACATAAATAAAAACATAATTAAACATTTTTTAAAAACCTTCCCTATACAGTGGTACCTCGAGTTACACATGCTTCAGGTTACAGACTCTGCTAACCCAGAAATAGTACCTCGGGTTAAGAACTTTGCTTCAGGATGAGAACAGAAATCACATGGTGGTGGTGCAGCAGCAGCAGGAGGCCCCATTAGCTGAATTGGTACCTCAGGTTAAGAACAGTTTCAGGTTAAGAACGGACCTCCAGAACGAATTACAGTGGTGCCTCGCAAGACGAAAAGAATCTGTTCCGCGATTCTCTTCGTCTAGCGGTTTTTTCGTCTTGCGAAGCAACCCCATTAGCGGCTAAGCGGCTTAGCGCTATTAGCGGTTTAGCGGCTTAGCGGCTATTAAAGGCTTAGCGGCTTAGCTGCTAAAAGGCTATTAGCGGCTTAGCGGCTTAGAAAAAGGGGTAAAAGGGGGGGGGGAATGGCGAGACTCGCAAGACATTTTCGTCTTGCGAAGCAAGCCCATAGGGAAATTCGTCTTGCAAAGCACCTCCAAAACAGAAAACCCTTTCATCTAGCGGGTTTTCCGCCTTGCGAGGCATTCGTCTTGCAGGGCACCACTGTAAGTTCTTAACCTGAGGTATCACTGTACAGGGCTGCCTTCAGGTGCCTTCTATAGGTTGTATAGTTACTTATCTCCTTGGCTCGGGTGTCACGTTACTCCATACCCTCCAACTTTTCTCCAATGAAAACGGGGACGTCCTAAGGAAAAGCAGGACATTCCAAGATCAAATCAGAAACTGTGACAGCTTTCCGTAAATCTGGGACTGTTCCTGGAAGATAGGGACACTTGGAGGGCCTGTTATTTTGATGTATCCAGTTATTAAGTATTTTACTGAAGCCAAATAGAAATAGCATTAGACCAAAGCAGCAGCATTCAGAACAAAATGTTGCTCAACAAGGCCACCCCGGATATTTAATTTATTTGAGCTATTTATGTGCCACTAAATCACTGGAGTTTCTAAGTGGCGTACATAAAAAGAAAAATTCAAAAACATGCAGTGGTCCAAATAAAGTCAATCATAAAAAAGAGCTTTTTAAAAAACCTACTTGGGATAGAAAAGTAAATACAGTATGACAACCCTACTGACATTCTACAGGGAGGGCCCTGCTGGAGTTCAACAGAATCAGGCCCACCATAGATGTGAAAGGGGCGGGGGAGGAAATACAAATTGTATGGGAAACTCTAGGAGTACAATTCTTGGGAGAAATGTACTTTCCCTGCAGAATGTGCTCCTTCAAGGACTACAAGTCCCAGAGTTCTTCAGTTCTAGTCAGTTTTCCTGTGCACAGACAAGGAGAAGCCAATAGGTTGTGGCAGCAGAAGGGTGGGACCAACCCTGCAAAAAAGAGGGACACTGAGATTTCAGGACCAGTGCTTGAATTGACAGGCCTTGCAACAGGTGTGGGTAAATGAGTCCAGCCTCTGCTCCCCATAGAACTGGCCGTAGATCCCAGGAACGTGGTCTAAAGGGCATTTGTCACTTGTGGGTTATACACAAACACACACACACCATGTTGCTATGGCTGGCTCGAAACACGAACCAGGTCGCCATAAATATAACAGCACTGATTTTTCTGTTAGTTTCCCCAAAACGTACAAGGGTTTTTATGTAGCTTGGGGAAAGGGAGCCTGTGCTACAAGTTCATAGTGGGCCCAGACTAGAGAAATTAGGCTTGCTTGCTTCTTAAAAACACAACACACTTAACCTTCTGCTTTTTAAATCTGTAGAAAGCAAAGTCAGGTGCTGAAATGGAAGACGTTCTTCTGGAGATGAAGGCAAGTAATACTCCCAGGAAGAATGGCTTAATATTCGGTTTTACTTTCATCAGCAGTGAAGCAAACAGATTGTTTTGAGAGATACCAAGGGCGTGGACGGAATCTGAAAGAAGATTTCTCAAATCTGTTCCAGTCCACAGAGTGCTTCCTTCTCATGGCTATTCGTCTGGTGTGTGTGTATGCCGAGAGATTGTGCTATCTCTGCAGTAGATAATAGGCTAGCCACCTTTTCTACCTGACACAGATTCTGTCCTATAAAATATGGGGCAAATTCTGCATCCATTTTCTTGATCATGTTTATAACAACTTCAAGGAAAATATACAACCAACCAGTGTAACGTTTGGTAACACAGAGCAGAAAGGAACTTTGATTTTACAATTAAGATAGTTGGTGCAGAAAAATTTGCTGCCGATCATCACAGTAGGATCCCCGAGCACATCTCCTGCGTGACAGAGTCCATTTTGGCCCCTTGATACACCCCAGAGCTGAGGCCAATGAAGTTGGTGTGCAGCTTGAAAAAAGTAGAGAAAAACTCCAGACAAATGCAATAGAACACTGTTGAGTGCTGATTATCAAGCTTATTCAGCTGCAGTAAAGATAGCAAAAATCTTTTGTATTTTGCTATAAATGAAAAGATGCTCAAATATATGTAATGTACCTCTAAGCAGAGAACCAGAGAAGTAAGAATATCTCTGTCCAGAATGCTGTCATTATAGGTACATTCTACCTTCTTGTATTTTAGTTCCAATCCTATAAAAAACATCTTAAAACTATACAGTGGTACCTCGGGTTAAGAACTTAATTCGTTCCGGAGGTCCGTTCTTAACCTGAAACTGTTCTTAACCTGAGGTACCACTTTAGCTAATGGGGCCTCCCGCTGCCCCCACACGATTTCTGTTCTCATCCTGAAGCAAAGTTCTTAACCCGAGGTACTATTTCTAGGTTTGCGGAGTCTGTAACCTGAAGCGTCTGTAACTCAAGGTACCACTGTATACCAAATGTGTAGGCTTGCAGCTCTGCTGATTTTTTTATTTTATATTTAGACTGTAGTTCCCACCATCTCTCATCAATGGCCATGCTGATGGAGACTGATGGGAGGGCCAAACGTTCGCCATCCCCGATTTAAGAGATTAATACCGTATCCTTCAACATTTAAGCATTAAGCCTGCAATGAAATAAGTTAAGCCAAAAACATGACGATAAGCTTTGTGATGGCTGAAATGCCTTCGCCATTGCCACTTTTCTGCCCCTTCCACACCCCACTATTGTCCTGATATCCATCTGTCTTAACAATTATTTTGCAAGTTGCAGGGATACCATTTATGAAGGTAGCTTTGCTGACCTCAAATACCCAATGTTAACAGATGATGACATTGACTTAACACAAACACATGTGATAAAAGCCTTAAGAACTTCCCTAGTCCTCTTCTAAGGACCTAACTCACTTTACATGCAAGCCATGTAACATAAGCCCGCCATATGTTTTTTCCCTAGGAAGAGCACCTGTGACGTTTTCATTACACCCATATGTGTGTGTGTAGTTTCATCTTAAAGGTATCTTACAACTTGGTTCTCTCTTATTTTATGTTCCTCTTGCAGAAAGACTTGTCATTTGTGGAGATTGATTTGAGAGATAGAGTCGAAGAGGTAGGCATAAGTTGTGTGAACATACTTTTGACTTGCTATATTTTCGTGAAGGGAAGATGCAAGTGTGATGAATGGATACATGCAGGCAGTGCTATTTTTCTAGAAAAAGAATTGTAGGAACTCACTATGAACGCCTCCCTTGTTCTCTTATAATGGCAATGACACCCACCTGAGAAGTGCCAGAACTGAGTTCCGGCTGGGGAAAAAAGCCCTGCATGCAGACAACCATGGATTCTTCTTCCCGCTATGTTAAATTTCATTTATTGAAAATATTTGCATCCTGCCTTTCTACTCGACAACAGATGTTGAAGGTAGGTGACAAAAAAACCCACAAAATGAAAACAAGTTGTTTTTCTTAAAGGCTGTGATAATTGACGAAGGCTTCTGGGGACTGATGATATAAAATATCCTGTCCTCAGCCCCAAATGCAACATTAGAGGCATCATTCACTTATGTTCTGTAGCGTGCCGTATGACCAGAATGCTTCCCATTTTAGATATCATTTATTTTTAGTAACGCAGATCGTGGGAAGTCATTAGCTGAATTCAAACTCCCTTGGCATTTATAAAGAGCAGTAATTCATCAGGAGCTGAGTGGGCTCTCTCTGCAGCATCTTAAGTTTGTTGATTGAAAGGTGGTCAGTGGTGTTGATTATTAGGAAGAAATTGTTAAGAAGTGGGGATTTTTTTTTTAGTTCAGGCAACCTGAAAGTAAGAGAATGTGATAGTCATGAAATTACTAATGGTGCAAAGAATGTGAAGGAATTTTTAAAATATATTTTTTATTTATTCAGACTGCCTTATACCCTGCCTACTAACTGAGATTTTTGAGGGGCTTCCAATATATTTAAAATATAGTAAACTAAGTGTATGATCACAAAAAGAGCATACAAGCTTCCTCTGGCCCAGAAATGGCTGCCAAAGCAGCTGGATGACAGATCAGGATTTCCTCACCCAGCTGTTGCTGAGCTTGCCTTCTGGCAGTGGTAAAAGATGCAGAAGGAGCTAGTGCAACAAAGGTGTCAGAAGCCTCCCCTAAGTTTCTTCAAAATGACTGCTGTTAGTCCCTCACAGGCCAAGGTTTCCTCACTGGACAGCAGTTGCTCCAGTCCTCCAGTGCCGCTCTGCAGCACTTCTGGCCTGGAAATGGCTGCCTGAAGCAGCCAGGTATTAGTCGTTCACAGAGCAGGACTTCCTCGCCTGCTTCTGATGTCTCTCACAGCTTTGGGCTCTGGTGGCAGATGCAGAAGGTGCTGGAACGTTCTCCAATATTCCAGCTTCTGCTTTGCAGCTGAATTTGCTGGTCTGGAAACGGCTGCCAAAGCATTCATCCCAAACCCTCCAAGTGTCCCTATTTTCCAGAGACAGTCCTGGATTTACAGAAGCCATCCTGGTTTCTGATTTGATCCCAGAAAGTCCTGCTTTTCCTTAGCATGTCCCCATTTTCATCAGAGAAATGTTGGAGCTATGTAACCCTGGGGCCAAGGAGATATGTAACTATACAACCATAAGAAGACATCTGAAGGCTGTACAGGGAAGTTATTTTAATGTTTAATGTTTAGTTATGTTTTTATATGTGTTGGAAGCTGCCCAGCGTGCCCAGATGAGTGGGTATAAATAATAAAATAATAGTAATTATTATTATTATTATTATTATTATTATTATTATTATTATTGAATAGGACATCCCTATTTTCATCAGAGAAATGTTGGAGAGTATGTCATCCAATGAGTGTGAGAAAGGAAGTATTTTTTCACGCTGCATTGTTACCTTATAGAGCTACTTTGGATATAATATTGTTCAGAAATATGACAAAAAGCCTAAGTGACCCTCAGACCTGTATGCTCCCCATCTTGGAAACTGAATGCTAGACACCATTGGGTCTGATCCAGCAAGACAACAGCTATCTTATTAAGATACTGTGTTGTCTGGTGACTTTTGACACAGTAAAAAGGTAAAGGGTAAAGGTACCCCTGCCCGTACGGGCCAGTCTTGACAGACTCTGGGGTTGTGCGCCCATCTCACTCAAGAGGCCGGGGGCCAGCGCTGTCCGGAGACACTTCCGGGTCACGTGGCCAGCGTGACAAAGCTGCATCTGGCGAGCCAGCACAGCACACGGAACGCCGTTTACCTTCCCGCTGGTAAGCAGTCCCTATTTATCTACTTGCACCCGGGGGTGCTTTCGAACTGCTAGGTTGGCAGGCGCTGGGACAGAGCAGTGGGAGCGCACCCCGCCGCGGGGATTCGAACCGCCGACCTTTCGATCGGCAAGCCCTAGGCGCTGAGGCTTTTACCCACAGCGCCACCTGCGTCCCTTTGACACAGTACTAATCAGCTAATGGCATTGCGGCACTAGGTTCATGAGCTCTTGATTTGTCAAAGACTTGCGCCTCACATTTATATGCAAATCCTCCAGGCATCTTTCAAGTCAGATTTGTATGTTCACACATACCTGAAAGTATGCAACAAAATTCATGTCACTGTGGGTACTGTGAATTTGTGTGTGTGTGTTTTTTGTGGGAGAAGGGAGAAAACATGGCATCGCACTTTATACAAAACGTGATGACTCCACATTTCACTGTATACAGCATAAACCTAACTTCAATTTAGGATTAGCTGACAGCAGTCTTGGATGGATGGAGAGGCACTCATCTGTCTGTATCAATAAGCACATTCATCCTGATTAGGTTGTATAACCAATCTTTCTTGCAGGCTTGGGGTAAATGCCTTGTTGCACTTAAATACGAACACTATTACCTGCCTTTCTGTCAGACCTTTAAGGCAGCTTACAATACAAAATTTGAAGATAATTTTAAAATGTCAGCAATATAAAACTTAACCAATGGGGGTGGGGAGAGCAGGAATTAAACTTATCAGAATTACAATAGCATGTTTGGCAAAAAGAACCTTAAATCTAAAAGTCTAGTTGAATTGCCACAGGTTCACATATCATAAACAATCAAGCCTTGCAAGTAGAAAGAAATTGTTTCAGCGTTGCCTAGCCAGGATTGAAAGCGCTTTTCCATGACATACAAAGAGAGGCCTGAATTAAATACACCATTTGTTCAAAACTAGCAATGCAATGAAGCTTTTTTCTTTTCTTTTTAAGGAATAATTTCACTGAAGTCACATGTTTTGAACTGTGCATGACCCTGGAGCAAGTTTTTTTTTTTAGCAAAAAGTTTCCCAGAAAAGAACTCTGCTTGTTTTCGCTGTTATAGATTATTAGGTTATAGCATTAACAAAGAATTCACTATTTCTTAAAATTTCTCTGACTCAGAAAACTGAAGAAATCTTGACAGAGGAGAAGCAGCATGAAAAGGAAGAGGAATCTCCTGAAACGCTGTATGGCGGTATTTTTACTTGTTGTGCAAGACACTGGTGGGAAAGGCCAGCTTAAAAATGCTTAGTTTTACAAAAATGTGGCTGTGGGGGTCCAGAATAGTGGAAGTCGTTTCATTCCCAGATCCTAAATATGTTTGCTTGGCTCTTTTTGCCACACTAATTTCATTGCTGCTTACTTCCCAGTAAAGCAGGCTTAGGCTAACAGCTGTAGGTTTTGCTCTCTGGACATTTTTTTTGCATGCTATCTTTCCCAGTTGGCAAAAAAAGGTGTTTACATTTGTTCATATGCAGGAAAACGTGTCATGCTACTTGTGGTTCCCAATCAACAACAACAGTGGGCAGATCTATACCAGGCATCTAAAGCATGCTCGATGTACATGTAAAGCACACAGCTTCTCTCAAAGAATCCTGGGAGCTGTAGTTTGTTCAGGGTTGCTGGGAAATGTAGTTCTTTGAGAGGGCAATTACAGTGGTACCTCGGGATGCGAACGGGATCCGTTCCGGAGCCCCGTTCACATCCAGAAGCAAACGTAACTAGCGGCAGCACGTCTGCACATGCGCGCATTACTTTTCGCCGCTTCTGCGCATGCGCGTGATGTCAGTTTGAGCGTATGCGCATGCGCGAGCAGCGAAAACCGGAAGTAACACGCTCCGTTACTTCCGGGTTGCCACGGAGCGCAACTTGAACACACGCAACATGAAGCATATTCAACCCGAGGTACAGTTCCAGGGATGCTTTGAGGAAAGTCATGTGCTTTAAATATGCCTTAAATGTATGGTGCTGTAAAGGTGTTACTACATGATGTTACTATTCAGAAAGTAGCATACAGCAGTTGCTAGATATCATCAGAGGGAGAGTGTTCATGCCCTCTTGTGGGCTTTGCATAGGCATTGTGGGCACAGCATGCTGGGACATTCTGCACTGCAGGGGGTTGGGCTTGATGACCTTTGGGGGTCCCCTTCCAACTCTACAATTCTATGATTCTACATACATAAGAAGAGTTCTCCAGGATCAGACCAAAGGCCCATCTAGTCCAGTATCTTGTTCTCACAATGGCCAACCATTATTGTAAAGTGCAATATACAATTGTGACACTAGGTATGGCGACCGTGAGCTACAGCAAATTCAAAGCATTTTTCAAAACGATTTTTAAAAAAAGCATTTTTCACAATGTTTTTAACATGCATCTAGATTCCACACCCAGGTGGTTTCTATGGTTGTTGTTGGACTATCTGGGAGAATAAATCAGATGCTATTAAATGGGCTTGCTGATTGGGCTTGTGCAGAATTCCTCTTAGTGGCTGGTTATAAACATTTCGAAAATTATATTTGGAATAGCAGCAACCTGGTAAATGATTTGATATTTTCCCACCCCAGTCTTCCCCGCTATCCATCCGTTCCTGATAACACGGATTGCAAGATACTTTGACCACTAGGAGGAGCAGGTCCCATATGCTAACTGCTATGGCCTATGTACACTGCTTTGTCTTCAAACAATACATGTTCCAAATATTTTGTTAGAACATTATTAGCTGCGTGTTGCCTGTGGTTGTTCAGAGTTGTCTTCAAAGGGCTGCAGGCTGACCCTTGCATTAGATAGCTGGCTTACCTGATTTTACTGCCAGGGAGGATGGCAGGTGCTCAGGAGAAGGTCTGTGTAGCTCAGGGGCAAAGCATACACTTTGCATGCACAAGGTTCCAGGTTCAATCCCCAGCATCCCGAAGGAGGTCTGGGAATGTCCTCTGCCTGAAAACCCTAGAGGGATGCTGCCAGTCAGTGTTGGCAATGCTGGGGTAGATAAACCAATGGCCTGACTTGGTTTAAGGCAGCTTCCTATGTTCCAATAAGATTTTCTGCTTCAGGTGCCAAAATAACTTGGGTACACACTTTGAATTGATTGGGGGGGCATGGAATGCTATTTGCTGCTGTGCCTCAGGCAGTAAAATATATAGGGTTGTCTTTGCTTAGCGATACTTTCTTTCTTTTTTATTAAAAAACAACCCCCAAACAAGTTATGGATTGTTCTGCTTTTAAGTGTGCCTAGAATTGCAGTCTCACTTGACTTCTTGCTTCTGTTTGTTAAGATGAGTCAGTGAAGCCAACCGTTGAATAATGTGAGAAAACTCGGTAATTCGTTTGCAGGAATATGGCTCTGTCATATGACGGGTTCCCAAAACAGTGGTGCATTATCGGTGCTTTGCCTCTGAGCTACACGATCCTTCCTCTGAGCATCTGTCAATCAAATCAGTGGGATTTATTTATTTTTAACAATTTCAATAGGTGCTGGATTGTAACCATCACTCTATAGCCTTAGCCTGTGAGAGGGATGGGCTTGTGTGCTTGTAGGTCAGTGCTGCTATTCAGTCTTTGAAATTCTCATCCAGCACATGTATTACTACTATTCATTACCACATTTGTAACACTTCTTCCCCTTGAGGAGGTCAGGGCAGTGTGATTGGGGGTTTCCTCATTTGTTCCTAACCTGTGAGGTAGGTTAGGCTGAGATATAGTGATTCACTCCCTGGTTAGCCAGTGAACCTCATGACTAAGCAGAGATTTGAACCCGGCTCTGCTTTGTCCAAGTCCAACACTATCTACCGCACAATGCTGACTCACATACCACCTGCCTTTAGAATAGTGTGGGTCCACTTAAATGGATACTAGGCATTTGCCATTTGTGCTCTTCCAGATGGGATCCTCACACAATGCTATTATACAGGGAGAGCCGGCATGGTATAGCGGTTAGAGAGTCGGACTAGGAGTGGAGAGATCCACATTCAGATCCCCACTTGGCTATGAAGCTCACTCGGACCATCAGTCATCCCCTCTCAACCTAAGCTACCTCACGGGTTGGTTGCGGAGATAAAATGGAGATAGCCAGTGAGGAAGAACCACAAAGGTTGTGCTAAGACTCAGAGGAAGGGCAGGATATGAATATTAAAAAAAATAAGTATCTTAGGCCACCAGATCTCCTTCCCCAACACTGCTGCTGTCACCAAGCCAGATAGGTAAAGGAAGCAAAAATGTTCTGCAGGACCTTGTTGAGAGGTCCATGGAGGAATATTCTCAATTCAGGACTGGGTTCTTTTCATCTTTCCTTATTGTACTTGTTGGCTATCGATCTCTTGCCTTTATGCTGCCCTAATTTAGTTGGTTTCCCCTTTGGAGCTACATTCTTGACACTTAAGAAATCTTTGTTCTAGATTATGTCCTTATATATGTAGAAATGAACTGTGGGAATTTACATTTGCAGGCCCGAAAGCAGCTGGCTGTGCTGTTTTCCCATCTGGACGAGGCAGAAGAAGCGGAAGGAAAAACGGGAGTAGCCACAAAATGGTTAATATCACCACATGGGGAGCACCGGGAGGCGTGAATATATGAGATATTTATGGGGGTGGTGGGGTGCAGAGGCATTGGGGATAAGGAAGGAAATTGTGGCGGCTGTAACAGCCTCATTCAGCACCTCTCTATAGCACTGGGCTGAGGGAGTTTTAGGCAGCTGGAGCTGCGCTGCTTTCTGTGCTGCCACCAGTCTCCCTTTGCCATCTGCTGCTGCCGCCGCCACCCATCCCATTCCACCCTTTGGTAAGATTTCAGGGTGAGAGGCACCAGCAAGGCATGGAACAAGTAGGCTTGTGCACTTTACCCTACTATCCTCTGGCATAGCCACAAGGAGATTGGAAGAATCCACTTTTGTTTTCTGCTAACCTCAGGTTGCCGCCTTATGCTAAACAGGACAAACTATGAAAATTCCTTCCAGTAGCACCTTAAAGACCAACTAAGTTAGTTCTTGGTATGAGCTTTCGTGTGCATGCACACTTCTTCAGATACACTGAAATAGAAATATCTGTAACTAGGACAAACTATGGTTTGTCCTAACAAACCCAAGAGCAAATCATTGTTTCTGACCCTGGCTTGTTTTGATAAAAGCATAGCTAAAACTAGCCCCAGTTCTCCTGTTTAGATGAAACAATGAATTGCAGTTAGCTAAGAAAATTGGAAACGAGCTCTTCTGTGTGCACATAATGCTAAGATATCGTTTAGTGTTGTGTCCAAAACTTCAAACCAGGTCACACAGTTAAGCATGCCTAAGAACATGTTTTATTCTGTGTTGACCCTAGCCTATGCCCTCAGTGCTTTTGCACATTTTAGACTCGCTTGCAGCAATCTTCAAACAAGCTGAACGTAAAAGATATAAAACAGTTTCCATCTAATACTCTGTTTGTACCTGTGTGTGCTTCTTGGAGCATAATGGGTGCAGACATTACGTCAGAATCCTCTTTCACCCTTCCCCTTAACACAGGCATAGGCAAACTCGGCCCTCCAGATGTTTTGGGACTACAACTCCCATCATCCCTAGCTAACAGGACCAGTGGTCAGGGATGATTGGAGTTGTAGTCCCAAAACATCTGGAGGACCAAGTTTGGAGGTGCCTGCCTTAAAGATTATAAATGCTCACAAGAAATCTCTTTTAGTCTCAGAGTTGCCAACTTTTCATTTCAAAAAGACTAGCCTTCCAGGTGAGAGGCCAAGAGGGGGTGAAGGATTCAGCAGACTGGTGTGTTATGATGGTAGATTCTGCCAAGTGCAAGGTGCCAACTCTAACAATAAATTTGATAAGAGTTGTATCTAACTAGTCATACTCAGAGTAGACCCATTGAAATTAATGCACATGACTGAGTAGAACTTAGTTGGATACAATCCTCAGTCTTACCACACGACTCTGTTGCTTTTACTGTAATATAGAAATTACAACAAGCCTTCAAGCTGGCTCCAAAGTTCACTGACTCAACACTTTTTAAACTGCTAGACAAGACCGGTTATACAAACCAGACCAGTAAAATTCTGGCCAGCTGGCAATCCTATCCATTCCACAAAAATATATTTGCCTGTTTGCAAGAAGAGGTTTGTTTCAATGGTGAGCTCATGGTTTCAAAATGTTTATTGGTCATCTCAGAATCACCCAAGTGGAGTCAGTGGAAGATAACCAGGGCAGGGAAGATGCAGGAACTTTGTATTGGGTATATCTGTTTGAAAGTCGAATTACCTCTGTTGTACATGCTGATTATTCTGTATGTCCTTCAATCCGTACAGGACTCCAGCTTTTTAGAATACAAGGCCCAATATGAAATGGAAGGAAAACCAGTGCGAAATGGTCAGCTGAAGAATAGGCGACGAATAAACTAAAATTCAGAACTAGACTAGTTGTTCCTTCACTTTATCTGAGGTACCGCAACAGGCTGCCAGTCTTTGCATTCTGATAAGAGACAGTGGATTCAAAAGATAAAGCATGGTGTGGAAATACAGTGGTACCTCGATTGTCGAACATACTCCATTCCGGAAGACAGTTCGACTTCCGAAACGTTTGACAACCGAGGCGCAAAGGGCTGGCTGCAAAGTCAATGGAGAAAATTGGAAAAAACCGCAGCAGAAGCCGTTCTACTTCCGAGGCGCGTTTGAAAACGGAAGCAATTACTTCTGGGTTTTCAGCGTTTGAAAACTGAAATGTTTGGCTTCCGAGATGCTCGAAAACCAAGATACCACTGTATAAGAAAAACAGTCCTTAGTGCTTGGTCATGTATATGTAAATGTGAACATACGAAGCAGTGAATCTAAGACCGTTAGACCGTTAGTCCACATATCTCAGTGTTGTCTACTTTGACAGTTTACCCTAACTTCAGGTTATTTATGAACAAGTTTAAAATCTTACAAGTTAAAAATTGCATGAGAATTTATTGTGAAACTGATGTAACCTGGGGGTGCAAATCTCAAGGGATTGGCTTTTCACAAAGCTACATTAAGTGCAAAGAAGTTTGCTTTTAATGGGTGTTGGAAAGAGGCTGTTAAAAAGGAAACCTTGCACAGATTGTGGGTCAGGTAACTAAATTCCATGATCTTTCCAGAGGAACTTGACATCTGTGCAGTATTTATCTCCTTAAAACTTCACTCTTATCTATGCAATTCAAACCTACTTGCAACGCAAGTTCTTTTCCAAGTACCAGGGCATTTAATACAGTTAAATCTGTTTTAAAATCAAGAATATATATATAGGCTATGGATCAAGCTGAAAAAGTGTTTCATTATCAGAAAGTTGCAAAACGCCCTCATTGCTATCACACAAGCCTCATTTCCAAACCCTATGAAAAGCTTATTTGGCCTTGAAGCAATTCCACTGGATATGAATTCTGTTTGCAGTGCTGGTGCACACACAGGCTTTCAAAGTAGTAAACTGGAGTTTTAGTCAGATAATTTAGCAGAGCTGAATTGGGGAGATAATTTCTTTTACAATGAAAAGGCAAAGCCCCTACCCTCCCGGTTTTGGGAATGTTTGTACACTTTTGTAAAAAGGTGTAAAACTGTATAAAGAGGTGGGTCTCAAGAAGCAAAGGGAACTGCTGAGACACGACACTCTTCTGCCCCTGTTGCATGTTGTTTACTATTAGCTGGGGTAGTTGGGAGTGTGCATGACTGTACCACAGAAAATAATGTGCAAATGGACTGTATCCCTATTCGGATGCCCATCTGAATCAGAGTGTGGCCCATCTACACTGCACCGCATCAGAAAAATGTGCATCTCTATATTCACATTCTATAAGGGACGCGGGTGGCGCTGTGGGTAAAAGCCTCAGTGCCTAGGGCTTGCCGATCGAAAGGTTGGCGGTTCGAATCCCCGTGGCGGGGTGCACTCCCGTTGTTCGGTCCCAGCGCCTGCCAACCTAGCAGTTCGAAAGCACTCCCGGGTGCAAGTAGATAAATAGGGACCGCTTACTGGCGGGAAGGTAAACGGCGTTTCCGTGTGTGCTGCGCTGGCTCGCCAGAGCAGCGATGTCACGCTGGCCACGTGACCCGGAAGTGTCTCCGGACAGCGCTGGCCCCCGGCCTCTTGAGTGAGATGGGCGCACAACCCTAGAGTCTGTCAAGACTGGCCCGTACGGGCAGGGGTACCTTTACCTTTTACCTTTATATTCACATTCTGACTCAACTAAACTTAAATAAAATGTTATGACCAGAGCTGGATCCTGACGAATTATTGCAGTGAAATATCCAATACAGCAGTGCCTAGAAATATGGGCATATTCCTTCTTCCTCACTCCTGCTGTCAGGGTGAGACCAATGGGGTTGTTTTTTTAACCCCAGTGGCACTGTCATACAGCAAAATCTGAGAGCCTGCATGTTCCATGATTGGTTATGATCAAGTAGTAAAGAAGCCCTTTCGAGTTAGACAACATCAGACTAAGGGGAAATAGCCATGAAAAGGCATGAAAGAAGAGAATAAACATCATTGGTTGGGGTTTTTCCCCCCAGACCCTTCACCTCCCTACTTCCTGAAGCACCAGCTTTTCCACCTAAAATCAATCCCTCGCCCACAATTGCCATCACACTAGTTTTAAACATGAAATCTTCCAGCATAGATGTGGAGAGTGTATAGAAAATGCCTATTCTTAAGGTGTGAAATGCAACACTTGTATCATTTCCTGAGTGAAAAACAAGGTCTTGCTTTCCTTCCCCTCCAAAATTTCATTTTCAGACCCTTTCTGTGCACGGCATATTTATTCTAGATACAGATATATAAATAGCCTTTACCGAACCAGTAACCATGGGAATTAATAGAGTTCACAGCTGGGTTCTAAATGGACTCCTTACATCTCCCTCCCCTCCCCTCTTCAGAACACTTCTCTTTCAAAGAGCAAGAAGAGTCGTTTGGAAAGAGATATGGAGAGAGACTACGGCCAGATGTGCAGACATAGGATCTCCACCAGCCCTCTCGCTTTAAAGTTTAAACAGTGTTATTCAGACAACCCCTGACATTTCCTGGTACACATCCTTTTTTCCTTCTGGCAACAATATGAAAACAATAGGCCTGATTCTACTCTACTGTAAACTGGTGGTGATAGGGATCCAAGAGGACTCGTTTAAGAAGAGCTGCATTAATTCAGAAGTGCATAATATGGTGCTTCTTTCCAGGCAGGCTCATCCATAGGTAATCTCTTGTTCCCATACGCCAAGGGATAGCTGGGCCCTGTACTTAGTAGAACACAAGCTCCTTGAATATACAGAACCAAGAGAACAAGTTGGGAACCTGTAGGTTCTACTTAACCAGAGAAGTCAATGGCTGGCTTTAAACAAGCCAACCTAACCTACTTTTCATAGATTATCTATGAAATAATCTCACCCTTGGAGAAAGGCTGGGGTGCAGATGTGGGAAATAAATACATCTCACTTTCATTGCATTACCTCAGGGGTAGCTAAACTTTTGGCACGCAGATGTTGGACTACAAATCTCATCAGCTCTGGCTATCATGGGGCCATCTGGAGAGCCCAGTGTTGGCCACCTCTGGTATAGCACTTGCCGTATTCTAATACGCTGAAGGGTTTTTAATTCTATTCGTTTTGTGACTAGATGTTAATTTCCTTCTCCCAGAAAGGCCAATACGTTTTGTTAACGGGGCTGCCCCAATGAAGTAACACAGCCATCAACTTTCTATCCATTTTTTTTAAAAAAAATTCAATTGTTTTTATTACAGATTATCTTGGGTTGCAACCTTTTTGGACATCAGTCCTATAAGAAATATGCAACATAACGAAACAGGTATTAGGAGACACCCCAGAAGTAGCTCTACTGAATATTTTCCAAGACAATAGCACACACTCACACCACAAAGCACTTATAACCCAACTTACTCTCAGCAGCCAGGAGTATCATAGCGAGAACATGGAGGGACCTGTCAGATGTGAACCATGGACCACTGGTACCAAACTGTATGGGAAACAGCCTTACTAGAAAAGCTAACCAACAAACCAAAAATGGGGACAAATAAAACAGGATGCCTTCAGCCCGATGTGGCTCCCCTTTATTACACACATGGTCCAACAAGACTTTACATCCAATCTTCAGTGTCTACACATGTAATTTATGGAAAGCTTGATGTTAGTTTTTTTTGGCAAGGTCTCAGATAGATCAACAGAGACATCTGCTGGTCAAAGGAAACATAAGAGTAGCAAAAATATCTCTGCTTGTATTAGGTGGTGTTTTAAAACAAACATACTACTCTGTCTGCACACAACTGCTGACGCCACACAACTGCTGCAGATACAGTATTTTGATGCTGTATCACCGTTCGCCCACAGCAAACCACACAGGACCTGAGAGAGCAGGGTTCAAATCCTGACTCAGCTGCAAAGCTCACTGGGTGATTTTGGGCTAGTCACTCACTCTCAGCCTAACCTACCTCAGAAGATGGTTGTGAGAATAAAACAGGGAAAGAGAATTATGTACTCCACTTTGAGCTTCATGGAGGAAAGGTGGGATAGAAATGTAAGAAACTGAACAAACAAATCGGTATCTTTAAACACCTGTGTGTGTGCCTGGGAGCTCAAATTGGGCCAGGAGTTCCTGATGTGTGAACATGGGTGTTTAAACATGCAGGCATGGTCATCTATGTGTTACAATTGGGAGTTTACAATTGGAAGATTCAAACATTTTGTCTTTGATATGCTTTTATTTGTTAAAGTGCATAAACAGGACACTTTATCTTGGCTTCAGTTTAAGCAGGGCAATTTAAAATGCTATTTGCTAGTTCTTCCCACAACTGACAAAAAGCAGGCAGATCAGCAAAAAATAAATGAAAACAGTAATATATCCTGAAATTTGGAACACTGGGAACTGTAGTTTGAGCTGTAATTCTGGGACAGGGAAACTATAGTTCCCAACGTTCTTTGGGGGAAGTCATGTGCACGTTTCTGAGCACAATTCAAAGTGTTGGTGCTGACCTTTAAAGCCCTAAACGGCCTCGGTCCAGTATACCTGAAGGAGCGTCTCCACCTCCATTGTTCTGCCCGGATGCTGAGGTCCAGCGCTGAGGGCCTTCCTGGGGTTCCCTCGCTGCGAGAAGCCAAGTTACAGGGAACCAGGCAGAGGGCCTTCTCAGTAGTGGCGCCCGCCCTGTGGAACGCCCTCCCACCAGATGTCAAAGAGAACAACAACTACCAAACTTTTAGAAGACATCTGAAGGCAGCCCTGTTTAGGGAAGCTTTTAATGTTTAATAGGTTATTGTATTTTAGTGTTTTGTTGGAAGCTGCCCAGAGTGGCTGGGGGGACCTAGCCAGATGGGCGGGCTATAAATAATAAATTATGATTATGATTATGATTTAAATGTACATTGCACAGGCTTCAAATTTGCGGTGTGGATCTGTCTTAACAAAATAGCACCTGACTCTGCTGAGGATTGCTGCATAACCTTGAGCAGGTCACCTTCTTTTTTGCCATTTTCCTCCCATGTTTACTTTGACGGTGTTGGTATACTGCCTAGTACAATAAGGCTCATAATTTGTGGTTGCTTTGCCTCCAGGGACAACATTCAGGCAAACAACAACACAGGCAGCCACCATTGCCCATTTTGTGACTGCTTTTCTGTCCGTCACATGTTATGAGCATCAACAATTATTGCTAGTTAATCTTCAACATGTCTGAATGCCACAAACTGGAAGCTGTTTCTTCACTTACATCTATTTGCTGCATATGGCTCTTTAAAAGCTAGATTTAGGAGGTTAAGAATACAAACCATGTGAGTGAACTGGCAGTTTTTATGGATCGTATGATCTGTCAGTCACTTGCCCGTGTGACATGTCAGCACCTGTCTGTAATTTTTTACAAAACAGGAACGCTATCATGATTTTACATCTGTAGTAATTGTGCTGCCCTATTTTGTTTCATTCAGTTCTCCAGTAACAACTTTCCTTATTATCATATTCAACAGAAGTTGGAGGCAGTCCAGTCTTTGTTTAAATGGTTTACATAACAGCTCTGGAAGGTACATAATAAAAATATGTTTCTTTTGCACCTGCAATCTAACTCAGAGCTTGAAACTCATTGCTAGGTAGATTCAAATAGTAGCAGCACCTCGGATTAAGTTTTTAAAACCATTTGTTTTCACATAGCTACAAAAAATAAAAGAACATTTATTGTAGTTGATAGTAGTTTTTTTTTGTTAAAAGAATATCAGGTGCCAGTACTCTTATCTCAATCTAAATGTCATGGGTGCCACAACAAAATGACTGCTTATGGGCAGCAAAAAGAAAGAAAGAAAGAAAGAAAGAAAGAAAGAAAGAAAGAAAGACCCATTTTAATTTCTGAGGGAGATAGTAAATCAGAGAGGTTGCTTATTTATTTAGGCTCTACAATAATTCTGGTGTATTACTGTAATACAGTGGTACCTCAAGTTACATACGCTTCAGGTTACAGACTCCGCTAACCCAGAAATAGTGCTTCAGGTTAAGAACTTTGCTTCAGGATGAGAACAGAAATCGTGCTCCGGTGGCACGGCGGCAGCGGGAGGCCCCATTAGCTAAAGTGGTGCTTCAGGTTAAGAACAGTTTCAGGTTAAGAACGGACCTCCGGAACAAATTAAGTACTTAACCTGAGGTACCACTATATGGAATTACCGTCATACCTTGGGTTACAGCCGCTTCAGGTTGCGTTTTTTTCAGGTTACGCACCCACCGAAACCTAGAAGTACTGGAACGGGTTACTTCCGGGTTTCAGCGGTC